TAAAAAGTTTTTTACAATAAAATATAATAAATTAATCATAATTAAATTACTAAATAAAAGAGTAAAAAATTTGTTTTTTTATAACTTTTTTTAAGAATTGGGTTGTCCGATACGTCAAACAAGTAAACTTCCTTGTGGTGCTTGTGGTCAAAGTAAGACATGGGCTAGTCATAAATATCTGTGGTTATGTTGTCCATTAGTTATGAAGCAACTTGTTAGCAATTTATGTTTTGACACACACACAGCTTCAACATTCGCGTTTGAGGTAGCCTACTTATAAACCAAAACCCACTTAAAAAAAACACTTTCCTTCTGTTTTAGACTACTATTTATACATTTTATTTCTATAGAATTTAGCCTAATCAATAAGTGAGTTTTATTGTAATTCCATGTGTCCCAGATGAGTTTGTTGCAGACATGATTCAGCTAATAAAAAGTCATTATTTGCATTTATATTTAACATTTTTGCACATTTTAATAAAATGAAATTGATTACATTACAGTGTTTTTTATTGCTGTCCATTAGCTACGTTTTAAATTATCTAAACTTTATTGCGATGATGATAACATTACAATAGGCTATAATTACAAAATAGGCTGCACTACCGCAAGGTTATCATTTTTGTCTTTTCACTTCAAAGTAAAAACTATTTTTTTTTACCTCCACTAATCTAAATAAATGTCCACAAATGCTGGATTAAAAAGTACACACACACACACACACACAAATGATATTCAAATAACACAATGTCAATTCGCTATTTTCTAGAGACACAAAATTACATCGATTAACCTCAAAACTGTGTTACTTCATTAAGTTTAAATTTGTCATTAGATCCTACTATTTGCTGGACATGAAAAAATAACTGACCTTCATATCCTTCAACAGTAAAAAAAAAAATATATATATATATATATATATATATATATATATATATATCTTAAATGCTTTTTATTTATCATTTATTTATCCACACTGGTTTTTAAGGGAGTCAACCCTCTCTGTAACGAGAAACACTGTTCTTCATCAAGCAAAGCCATGTTTGTTTTTGGCTCTCCAGGATGAGTAATTCTCTGGTAGTATTCACAAGATGCCTGAAATGCTTTTGCACTGTAGAAGCTGACATCAAATGTGGAGGATGAGTCAAGGCCAGGCTATATAATGCTGTCTATTCCCTACAACTGTATATCAAAATTTAGATCATAAAATGAATAAATATACTTATTTAAGAGGTCATTTGGTCCAATATTAACCATGGTTAGGGGAAAAAATGACCAAATCCCCCAAGGAATTCTTCTATTATCTAAACTTTTTTATAATGTTTTATACATTTTTAAATATAAATTAAATTATTACATTGTTTCGGGCTCTGTGGTTCATTTGAATGATCAAGACCATTGCCATCATTATGGGACGGGTTACATGAAACATTCAGTTCCAGTGGTCATCTGATTGACCAAATGTTTCCCAATCCTGTACCTACAGGCACACCAATACTACACATTTTTTAAATCTTCCTAATCAAACACACCTGATTCAACTCATCAGCTCAAGAAGCCAAGACCAGAAATAGATGGGTCAGATAAAGTCCCGGGTTCTTCATTTTCTGCATTCCGTTCTGACTCACACACAGTTGAGCGAGCAAACCTTTTCAAAGTATACTCCTTTGGCCATGAGCGCGGAAAGAAGCATTCAGAGCGTGCTCACTACATAGTGGACTTTGTTTTTAAGCGCTCTAGTCACTCGCGCACTGTTGAATGTGCACAGTCCACGTGGACACAAAAATTGGGCAGCATACGGATAGTGTGCGTGGATGTCCGTGGACCCTCCTGAAGATGAAAATTACATCACACGGACAGTGTGCGGACCATGGACGGCCAAAGTATACTTTAGGCTTAAGGGAGACATCCAAAATGTGTTGGAGTGCCTCCAGGAACAGAGTTGGAAAAGACTGTAATAGCACTTGTATTTTAACGTGTATCGCTCCACTTTTCTCTGCGTTCCATGACTGTGTGCTGTGTTGAGGGGAGCGTTTTTTTTTTAAGTTGGAGTGTCTCCATTTGTTTATTTATTTACTTGTGTAAGTAAATATGTACTCTCGCTCGAAGCCTCCGAAAGAGAAAACAGATCTGAGGAATGTTATTCTCTCGAGGAAATCTTCGGGAAAGGGGTCCTGACGCTGAGTGCAGGCCTCGGGAATTGGAACAGGAAGTACAGTCTCTTTTGGCAAAGAGGGCTATAGAACATATTCATTCTCCCGAAAGGGACTCCGGGTTCTACAGCTGGTACTTCATAGTTCCCAAGAAGGATGGAGGGTTGAGTCCTATTATCTACAACATCTGAACCGTTCTCTGAGGAGATTCAGGTTCAAGATGTTGGCGATTCTGTTAACCGTGAGTCAAATCAAATGCAAGGATTGGTTTGTCATGATTGATTTGAAGGATGCATACTTCAATATTTCTATCCTTCCCCAACACAGGAAGTTCCTGATCTTTGCTTTTGGGGCAAATCTTACCAGTATCGAGTTCTTCCGTTCAGTCTTTGTGCTATCCCCTCGCACCTTCACGAAGTGCATGGATGCAGCGCTGGCTCCTCTGAGATTCAAAGGTATCCATGTACTCAATTACATAGACGACTGGCTAATATTAGCACAGTTCCAAGAGATGGAGGCTAAGCATCGAGATGTAGTTCTCACCCATATAAGGTGCTTGGGGTTGAGACTAAACTCCAAGAAGAGAATGTTGTCTCCAGTCCAGAGGACAGCCTTTCTAGGAGTAATATGGTCAATATTCTGTTCTGTAATATGGTCAATAGTCAATTCTGGCAGCCCTGACCAGAATGAAGCTAGGCCAGGCCGTTACTGTGAAACAATTTCAAAGGTTGTTGGGGCTCATGGCAGCAGCGTCCAATGTTATACCTTTTGGCCTGCTGTACATAAGACCATTGCAGTGGTGGCTCAGGACAACAGGGTTTTCCCTGAGGGGTAACCCATTCAGTATGGTCAAGGTTATGTGCATATGCCTTCGTACCCTTGTTATGTGGAAGAAACCTTGGTTTCTGTCCCAGGCCCCGAGGTTAGCTGTCATTGGAAAACAGTAACAACAGAGATCATCTTAAACCCTAGAGCTCTCTCCACGAGGAAACTGTATGCTTTGAAGTGGAGAGTTTTCACTTCATGGTGCAGAGAACACTAGTTGGACCCAGTTAAGTGCCCAGTTGCTTCAGTGCTATTGTTCCTTCTGGAGTTCCTGGGTATGTGCCTAAAGTGCCAACTAATGTAGCACGGTCCATAGTTTTCTAGGCCTTCCTTCCTTCTCTCTTTTGGTGTAGGTGGACCAAAAGAGGCTTCACTTACTTTACCCTGAGAGGGCTTTGAAGGCGCGTGTACTCAGATCTTCCCAGTGGAGGAAGTCTGAGCAGCTACTGGTATGCTTCGGGTCACACAAGAAGGGGTCCATTGTTCGCCGTCTCAAGATTGGACTAGTTGCACACGTGCTTCAGACAGTCACACAGAGGCGTTCCCCAAAGTGAAGTCATCAATCAACACAGCGTCTCGTTCCCTTCTAAGGGAAAAAATGGTTACATTCGTAGCCTGAGATATTTTGCTTGGCAACAAGCAAATATTTATAGTTTATTTGGAACTATTTTCTTTGGTGGAGTAGAAATATCTACTAAATGACAGGACAATGTTTGTCATAAAGGTAAGTTACTCTATTTCAGGGGTAAGTTACTCTATTACTTGAAACTTCCATACAGGTGTTTTGAAGCTGGTTGTATACACGGTTTGTTCATAGTTATACAGCTGCATAAAATAAATATCACAGTTCCAATCATGCTGTGGTACTGAATATCTGATATTTCTCGTGTGATATTGCTTATAAATTCCATGTACTCAAGGATGAATTATAGACTGGGCCAATGGGGTAAGAGCCGACCCCACTGTGTTTATTTCTCACATTGGTAAAGTTATTTATCACTACTTGGAATCTAGGCCTTATATGAAATAATATAATCCATTCTTAGAGGTTGGATGCAGCCTGTTGGTGATAGTGTTGGACTTAGCAGGAATGTTTTTACATAATTACATCATGATAAAACCACTTTTAATAATCTACCTGTTGGTAAAATATACAATACAATACAAAAATCTGTGTACAATGAAAAGAAATCTCAAATGCCAACTTGCAAGACACTTTATATGACAAAGGATATTTTCAATATTTGAAATAAATCCAAAATCCAAAACTTGATAGTACTTAATAATACAAATGTAAACATTGCCCCTGCAAGTACAGTTAATTATACAAGGTAAATTTACTTTGATTTAAAAATGTAAGTTTTTCCTCAAACAAAACAAAAAAACAGCAAATTTAATATTCTTGCCTGGCTCATTTGAGAGGTTGAATTCCCTGGTGACCTTTACCGTTTCATTTCAAAACAAAATCAAAGCTGTCTTTTAGCTGCAGTGGCACACGCCTGCAGCTGCCCACACGGCATCTACACTAAAATAAACCCATTGTAAGGTACAGTATGCATTATTTACATTCTTTGGGCATTACTGTTATTTTGAAGCTTGTCTACTCTATAGCAAGTGCTCACTGTATATTTGCCTCTTAGGTAAAACCCACTTTCTAGGAAATGATTTAGTTCACAATTCAAGTGCTTGTATTTACTGTTTACATTTATACCATTTTGTTTAATATAGTATGAAAGCTTGTTTTCACCATGGAATACATTTTTGGAATAAAAAAGGTAATTGCGACTTTTTATCTCACAATTCTGACTTCTGAAAGTCACTTCACTTGACTGAAAGTCAGAATTGTGAGTTATAAACTTGGATTTGTGAGACATAAACTCACAATTGTGTGTTTTTTCTATTGTGAGATAAGTCACAATTACCTTTTTTAATTGCCACGGCGGAAACGAGCTTCCATATTGTAGAGCTTATAAAAGTAGTTTATAAATTAAATTAAATGTTTTGTAAAATGCAGGCACTTTTGTACATAGCTAGTTATTGCTGTGGCTTATGGGCTAAACTGTGAAATCGATGGAGAGAAGATATGAGACAAAGAGTGAAAGTCAAGTACAAAGTTTCATTTGGTACATTTCTTCAGGAGTCCTGAGGCGATGGTCTTTATTGCTCTCATCGTCTCTGTACAGGTGGGATTAATCAGGGCTTCCGGCAACAAGAACCCGTAGTAGCCCGTATCACGCAACTCAAAAGCAAAGGCATATGAGATCCCGTTCTTATAGGCCCAGTCTATTGAGCTTCCAGAACTCACATCTGAAAGAGAAACACATTACATCACATCTGGACGTTTGACTGTTGTTGATATAGAAATAGTCATGAGTCAGAAAACAGATTGGCGTCTAACTGAGAGGGCTTACAGAGAGCTGATGACTCATATATGCAGTAGCTATATGTCATTGATTGAAGAAAAGACCCAATGCCTGACTTACAAAGCGTAGTGGAGGCAGGGCCGTATCTGTATCTCACTCCATAAGCTGAGTACAGAGCGCTCACTGCATTCTGGGCTGCTGATTCCTGAGGGGGAAGAGCAGAGGTTCAAGTATTCATCCAGTCGATCATTAATGATGCTTGGTGGTAAGTGTAGTCGAAAGATTGTGTGGGCAAACAGCCATCCAGTCGATTTATGAGGAAACTGCACTGAGGCAAACCCGAAAAATAATATCTCAGCCATTCCAAATTTTAATGAGGAGTTTAAAGTTTTGCCCTCTGGTAGAAGATATTGAGTTCCATCTTGTTAAAGGCTAAATCGCTTTAACAACTCCATTGTGCAAATTATGGTTTGCAGTGATTACTACAGAATCTTATATAGAGAAGTGTGGAGATATTATATAGAGTTGAGGCCGACATGACTTAACCCTCTGGTGGTCTTCCATAATTTTAGGGCAAAACTGTCACAGTTATGCTTAGTTTTGGTTTCGTTTTTTATCAGTCTGTTTAATCTCCTGTTTAATCACCTGCCTGTGTTCCTTTGTTTTCTTTCCCCCCATAATCAGTTACCATGGATATTAATTTAATAATCACAGCTGCTCATCATTTAGTTCATCACCATGTGTATTTTAGTTCCTCACCTTCTCTCATTCTTCTTTCCGGTATTGCTTGTTCATGGCACAATGTTTCGAGTTATTGGCTTATGTTTAATAAAGACTGTCGTTATTTGTACCTTCTTCTTCATCATTGGACTTATATATATATATATATATATATATATATATATATATATATATATATATGTGTATATATGTAATGAAAAACCTAATACAAATAAGTAATTATGATATTGTAAGTAATAAGTAATTGTTTTTATAATATTTTTATTATTTTTATAAATGCTGCATAATTTACAGGTGAATATTTTGTAGTACAATTAAATCCCCTCAAAATACAAAATATTAAAGAATAAGTATTATTGAATCAAAATACATTCATTTCATTAAAAAAAGTCTTGACTATGAGGATGAAGTGAGAAATAGCAGAGAATGCAAGTAATGATAACTTGCCATTTAGTAACTGATTCAGTGAGTTTGGATGGACTTAAACTGTAAACTCCTGTTTTTTGGATTTAAAAAACTACAACTATTCATTAAATAAACCAGCCATCATCATAAAAGTCATATCATCAATCAGACTACACTGGTTGTGCTGTATGTTTTTTTTATTCACTAAATTCACAAAAAAAAAATTAATAGCACTGTATGTTTTTGATTCAGTAAAAAAAACATGTTCATTCAGTAGGAGTTATTTGCTCGCAAATCGGACATTAGTTGCACTTAGTCATTATGTCATTATACTGTGCATTCGTTGTCTTATTGTTTATGCATGCAGCCTGTGAGGACATCCCAACAAAAAGTTGCCTTTTCATGCTATTTTGCTGTATCGTCTCTCTCCATATTTATACATCTAATGTTTTTGAGTTGCTATGAAATTATAATTACTGAACGATCCCGCAACCAAATGGACACATTCAAGATGAACTGTCTGAAGACAGAAATCACTCACCACACAGTTGAAGTTTGGTATAGTGGCATATTTGTAGGAATACGGATAGAGGAGCATCTGAGCATAGGCGTGAATCGAGATGTAGGCCTTGACCCGTTTCCTGTGTTTGCGTAGAAACTTGGCAACAGCGTTGACCTCAGGCTCTGACTCAGGGAAGGGACCGCAGTATGTGTCATCACAGGGGTGCAGGGATGCACCCTGATCTATCAGAGACAGCAAAGATAGCAGGTGCAAGAAATTGTAACTTTATTTGCCATCATTGAATTTTTGCCTTTTCTGGGCCAAGGTTGCGGTCGTATAGGTTCCCTCCCTTGGGATTTTGCTGGCTCATGATCATTCTACACTTATGTATTCTCTATTTTGGTGTCAGGTATTATTTTTAATATCTAACAGTGAATTCATTTCCTTATGTATTGCATAGGGAATTTCAAGTACAAGATAGTGTTTGATGTAAATATGTCATTCTGTTGATACATTTTCAGGCCTTTTCATGGTGTCTGTCTACATACTCTGGAATGCCTATTTATTTCCAATATATGAACACCAGGGCTCTTTAATTGGGAGCTTTTGATTCTTGAATATGAGGTAAAATAACTCACCACACCATTTGACTTTCCAATTTCGGTTGGCATCCACTCCCCGACAATGATACTTTGGAATCTTTGACCGCGTTTTCCGCCAAAAGCGATCCTAAGAGAGAGAGAGAAACCACAGATATTTTCCTCAATTATGTCTGGCAGCTTTATAGAAAGGCAAGACATGCTGCATGTTTAACAGCACAGAACTGCCAACAATTCCTTTCAGTAAGCTCACCATACATCACAGAAGAGATGTTGAGATCTAGGCATATGTCAAACAGATAGTTACCGTCTTCCAGCTGTAATGGTAACCGTCTACGTTGAAGACAGGCATAATGTAGAAATTGAGCTGATTCATCAGTCGTCTCATGCTGGAGTCATGTTGATAGGAGTTCAGTGCCTGCGTTCACAGTGAATGGAATCATGACAGACTTCAAGAGATGCAGGAAATGTGTTTCTCGTTTTCAGATAAACAGATATCAGATCAACTTCAATACAGCAAAAACACAGCAGTTTGTGTGCAGTTACTCTAATTATACCCCATTAAAATAGGTCATTCTTCCATTATATATATATATATATATATATATATATATATATATACATACGTGTGTGTGTGTGTGTGTATACTGTTTTCAGTATTCCATAATTACTATTTCAATGTTGTCATAAGACCTCATGCATATTTAAGTATGAGTGGCAATCGTTTATCATCTTAAAAATAAAAATAACTATTTTGCATAAATTATTGTCTTATAACTTTTGGTAGTCCAATCAAAAGTCACAATGCTTCTTCTGTTTAATTCATCGCGCTGAACATGGAAGGTCAGACTGAGCGCATTGCATCTTGGGTACAGTATTTTAAGTAAGTACAGTATACTATTTATTTACTATTCTATTTACTATTATATTATATAATAGTACAGTAAATAAGTACCGTTTAATGCCGCTTTATACTGCATTTTATCAAATGTACACTAACATTCAGAAGCTTGAGTTAGTATTTTTTTTAACAAAATTAATATTTGTATTCAGCAAGCATGCATTATATTGATCAAAGGTGGCTGTATAAATGCTGTTCTTTTTAACTTTTTTTATTCATCACAGAATCCTTAATAAAATGCATCACGGTTTCCATAAAAATGTTATGCAGCACAACTTTTATTTTTATTTATTTATTTGTTCTGCAATCTGCACAGATATCACAAGGATACAGTACAAGGAGGGGAACGAAACCCACTTGGGTTTATACAGAGTTCCACTCCACTTACATGAATAAACAACAAAACAAAAACAAAATAAAGGCACGCAGACAAATAAGTTGAATAAGAAAAGAGGGGAAAAACATATTTTCAGAAGCCTGATTATCCTTTTAACTTAAAATTACAGATGTTGAAGGGTGATGGTAAAGGAGGATCAAAAGTGAAGAGCAGCATATGAAGTATACTGCAGGAAACTATAACCAAATGCTGTCATATTAAAATCAAAAGGTCTTTCAACTGTCTTTTAAAGACAAACAAAGACATAGATCTTAGGGACAAACCTAATTTACTCCGTAATAGAGGACCCCTAAAGCTGAGGTCAGTTTTATAGCCTGAAGTTCTAGAGAACGGTAAGATAAGATTTATTTCACTATGCCTTGTTTGATGGATATGAGTATCAGAAATAAAAGTAAAAAAGTGTTGTAATGTTGGTGGAAGGTCTTCTCTCTTGTAAATAAACTTATGAATAAATGATAACATTGACGTTCTCAATTGGTAAAAACTGTTTACTACATTGATACTAAAAATAAATGTTTCTTGAGCACCAAATCAGCATATTAGAATGATTTCTGAAGGATCATGTGACACTAAAGACTGGAGCAATGGCTATGGAAAATGATGGTAAGAAGAAATGGTAGAAGTATGTTAGCATGCAGTTTTGAGCATACAGTAGATACTTTGTCTGTGTAATCTATACTGACAATGATGATTCACTACTCCATAATTAAAAGCTCCCTTTGGTCTTTTAAAATATGAACAATGTTACATTGGTTTAATTTAGCAGTGATGAAGTGTTACTGTGTGTAAAGTCTAATCCAACAGCAGAAAGAGAAAAATCACAAATGCTGGAGGTTTGAAGAGAACTATAGAGGTTTAATAACGTTCACTTCAGGGTCAGTCAGTTTTAGGTCTCTGTCATACAGTAGTTCTGCCTCATAGTGGTGTGCTGAAGGTATAGCAACTCACTCTTTTTTGATCTCTATCTAATTCTATTTGTCTCGCTCAGTGTTAGCTGCTGATCTGAGAGCTGTTTATTTGTGTGGCACAGAGGCGCTCTTTGATATAGTTTATGAGATGAGCTCAGGGGAGGCTCTGATGTATTATACAGATTAATTTGGAAGGAATTTAGAGACTCACTGAATGAAAAAGTCCCAGAATACACCAGCTGACAAATAAAATGAATCTGATTCTTGACCGAAAGTCTGAGACCACATTGAAATTTGAAATTCACAGCATAATTTAAACCTGAAACAAAACTTTTAAAATATTAATTCTTAAAAAGAATTAATGCTTCATGCTTATTTTTAAATGCAAATAATAACAATTGTTAATTGTATACTATGCATAACCATTTTGTTGTTTTTATAGTGATTTTAATCTCAGCATGAAGTGAACAGTGGCAAACAGAAAACACATACCTCTTTAACAAACCATTGGCAGAAAGCTGGACCAATCCATTCTCTTGCATGCACTCCACAGTCTATCCACACTGCCTTCTTAAAGGGACGTGTTCTCTTTCCTAACTGACAGAAGAGGGGCAGAGAACACCGTCTAGCAAGTCAGAACGTGTGCGTGTTTTTAACAGAATGGCCATACATTTAGCCATCTTCCCCTTCACCTTTTACCTGGAGCACATAGAGGGGTCGTCCCTCATAGGACTGACCAATAGAGAACAGGTCCACCAGGTGCGGGTTAGTCCGGTTCATCTCAAACATCCAACTCTTGATCTGTCGAAAAGGGTGAACAGATCCTCCAGATCAACATGCAGCTTGCATTCATGTAAAATTTTGCAGCAGTAAGTCAAAATCAAACATTAGGGTTTCTGTGAATTTTATACACATTTAATTTAGCAGGTCTGGCCTATTTCTATTAGTGTCTGCAATCATTTCTAACTAATTTGTGGCTCACCCAGGTGTTGACACTTATTTTAATTGCTAAGGCAATAATGTATATATATTTTATGTTTAAAGAGTATTGAAAAAAAATTACTCATGGTTCCCCAAACCTGTTTATTTGTTCATGAATAAATGAGTGAATTTGTTCATGAATGAATTAATTGAGTTAGTTCGTAGTTCGTATGTCCATTGATGAATTCTTTATAAATGTTTCCTTTACAAGAGTACAAGAGGAATTATCTACTTAAAAGTGAACGTAATCCAGCCCTCGTCTGCTCTGAAGGGTTTCCTATTCATCATCATGTCATGAGAATAAATCACAGTTTACAGTGTACAGTTGAAGTTGGCACTCGGTCTGAAGGAGAAGACCTGAGAGTAAAGGGCGGCACTGAAGAAAACCTCCTGAGATCTGTTTTTTCTTGTGCACATGGGCCACAACCGAATGCAAATGCACTTCTCAATCAAAGGCTGTTAGCCTGTGAAAATCAACCTTCTTTTCTGAGAAAGATAGAGTGGCAGATATAGGGAAAATAATCTCTGTCTTCTTTATCTTACTACATAAAAATTACCATGTGTATTAACTTCCACCCATGCACTCACCTCTTCCAAAGGATGGTACACTTCATAGTCATACTGCAATTCCGATCTGCGCTTTCTGGAGGAACGGTATCCGGTCTGTTTCTCAATTTGGGTTTGGAGATTTGAAATGAGCACCCTGTGGAGACAGTGGGGTGTCAGGGAGGGGATGTTAAAAAGCATATGCACTGTGTATCAAACCGTTTAATGGGAGTTCTCTTTCATAGGTTCACTCAACGCTGCGTAGCTTAAGACGCAGTGGGAACGCCCTCTGGGTGTGCCGATTGTCTAAAGCCCTTATAGAATCACGGCAATTTATTGGCTGATGGCGCGGGCGCCGCTCTTACGTCGTCACATTATACAGGTGCGCGCGCGCCATCTGCTCCTCAGATTTCTCTGCCTTCACGAAGCGGCCATACTAAGCCCTTCGGTCTTGATTTTTCTGGCCCAAAAATATTGGATTAGCATCAGCATTCTGTAGGCGCGGCCTACTGCGGCCTACACGGAGCTTATTGAAGTGCTTTCGCGTGCTACAGTGGCCCTAATTCTAGGCCAGAGTGGAGAAAGCTGTCCTTTTTCAGTGATCTGCATCACGAGATCTCCAGATCCTGGAAACAGCCTTTTTCTGCTCGTCTGACAAATGCGGCAGACGCCAACTTCACCAACCTTTTTGGTTCTGTGGAGCAGGGCTATTCCGCCATTCCAGCGGTCGAGGACACGTTGGCTACTCACCTTTCTCCATCGTCTGCTACGTCGTGGAAATCTCGCCCCCTCCTTCCCTCTAAACCGTGCAGGACTACTTCCGCCCTTATCGGAAAGTCCTACATGGCAGCTGGTCAGGCAGGCATGGCCTTACATACTATGGCCATCCTCCAAGCCTACCAGGCGGATGTTTTGAAGGAGATGGACGAGGGATCCGGAATTATGCCAGAAGCCGTCAAAGAGCTTCGTAAGGCCACGGATATGGCTTTAAGAGCCACCAAGCACACCGCACGCGCTATAGGTCGATCTATGGCGGGGGCGGTTGCTGCAGAGCGCCACCTATGGCTCAATCTCACAGAGATCCGCGACAAAGAAAAGGTTTTCCTCCTGGACGCCCCAGTTTCTCAGTCTGGACTGTTCAGGGAGGCGTCAACACTGTGGTTGACAGTTTATGCCCAGGAGGGTTAGGGAATCTTCTAATCCCTCCCCGTCTCAACCCAGAGAACGTCCTTCTCATAGGACAGATTTCACCGCTAGGAGGAGTGACTCGGCTCATCCCCCACCAGCTACGGTTTGGGAAGCCCGCGGTCGCCCGTTTCCCCGCCAGCGACCTCATAGGCGTCTTGAGCTGAAGCGGTCTAACAAACCTTCCGCTCCAGCTTCCTCGAATCGTTCCTGACCCTCAGGTCAGAAAAAGGAGAGCTTCCCCCGATTTACAAGGTTGGGACAGACCGCGCAAGCGTTTCTGCCCACCTCTCACTTGCACTCCTTCTCTAACCCTGCCACTTTCGCCGCCCTGCGTGTTTCGAAGTGCAGTTCCTATTCAACCTCGTTCAAACCGTCTGGCGCAGGAGGAAGGAGATGCGTTAAGCTTTCTCCCGATGCGTTTGATACCTGCCGCTCGCATCCTCGGAGGCACTTTCTGTTTTCCTCAGGAGCAGGCAGTCCCTGTAATACTGATCCAGGCAGTGGTACCTCCCACTACGTGTCAGGACGTCAAGTGCTCTCCGTCACGTTGGACCACGCCACCCCACAAGAGTCAGCGCTACACCCTAACACAGGTATGTCCTCTGCATTGCAACACTCCACTTCCTCTATCACATTTCTTTCAAGAATGGAAGCATCTGACAGGGGTATCGCCTTGGATCCTCCGCATGGTTCGGCTCGGCTACATGCTTCAGTTCTGTCGCAACCCCCCTTGCTTCAACGGGGTTTTTCCAACTGTGGTCAACCGGCTCCTCAGAACAACATTAGATGAAATTTAGATTTAGATTTTCTCAATGTTTTTTGCTATGCAGTTTTTTTCCCCCAAATTATTTATTTGTTTGAACATTATAAAAAAAATTATTTTTAATACATTGTTCTTATTATTTTGCACGAGTTACTGTAGTTTATTTGTAAAGTAGTCATGTAAAGTTCTTCGCATCAAGGCCATGATCATCCTGTTGGCTGTTATTTTACAATAATGACAATAATTACAGCTGACGGCCATTACTTATTTTAGTAAGATTTTAACACAAATGAAAATTTAAATGTTTACGCCTCTAACATGAGAATGATTTTAAGTATTTTTTGGTAACATATGAAATTGGTTGTTTGTCATGTGTTTTAATACATTATTTCTAAAGGTTTAACATAAGAATTATAATGTATTATAACTGTGGTTACAATTAATCATGAGACAATCATAAGGTGCAATGACAGATCAGGCAAACTCGAGAAGGATCTAAATGGAGTTATTTATTAATAAGCCAAACAGCCGAAAACACATGGCAGGAAAAAATGAGGGCCTTATGCTGCATTCACGCCATGTTGTAATAACCGCATTGTCTCAAGATGACAACAGGTGACGCTATATTCGGAGCTGTTCACGTCCTTGGACTGGGAAATATGCTTTTCTATGGCACCACTATCAACGCCTAAATGAAACTGCAGCAGTCAGGTGGTACAGCAGTCACGAGGTACAAGTAGGAGCTCTCAGACAATTCCCATCGTACAATATGTATTTACGAGCTCAACGATGATATGAACGCTTTTTAAAAATTAAAATCATGTAATTGCGGTAATTACGACATGGCGTGAATGCACCTTTATTTACACAGGATAGCTTATCAACAGAATTAGAGACAGGTGCTTAACATAATCAGTAACCATGGAAAAAACTAAACTAGGATTGGGAATACATGGCAAACAGGAAAAGAAGAGAACCAAACCAAAACACAATGGCTGCGTCCGAAATCGCATACTCTCTAGTTAGTACTTATTTTGAAGTACCGTAATTACTTCACGACCGCTAAAAAAAGTCTATGAATGTGTGTACTGTGTAGTATGAATGTAATCCGGACGTACTACATCTGCCACGATGTCATTATCATGTGACCTACCAGTGTCAGTTACGTCGCTTCACTGCCATTCACCAATCCTCTCCCATGGCCTCATGGGATAGTAAAGTGTCCATCGTTTGCATACTTCAGAATCTTGCTGGAAGTAGTAGACTTTTTGCCTACTCTTTAATGAGTACTGTGAATTCGGATATTCTTCTTTTGTCACATACTGTTTTTTGCCTACTATATAGTAGGGAAGTATGCAATTTCGGACGCAGCCAATTAAACTATAACATACTTGTGACAGGTACATTACAAGGCATAATTAATGCATTAAAAATGCTTTTATAATGCATTATATACTGTATAAAGCCTTTAAGTAAATTGTTACCGTAGGCTATTTTCCTCCCTATTAAGGTTTAAAGGTAGACTCACCAACATTGATCATCTTGTCACAAACAGAGCAAAGGTAATTCATGAGTTCACACTTACAAGTAATTAGATAGAGTAAAAGAGTATGCGTATTTGGCGTGCTGTCCTGGGGAGGGCTCCGAGCTCAGAATGTGGCCCAAACCCAGAGTACTCCCCTGTCTCCCTGGCTGGGATAGGAATTAGCCGAGAGTGAGGAGTTGGGGTGGTGGAGGGATGCAGAAAAGACTGTCGAAGAAGAGGTGAGTCTGCTATATATATATAGGCCTCCAATCGTACTGATTGGATAGATCATTTGAACGTGCTCCTCTCTAACATTTTTTAATAAAACATAATAACATGAAAATCAGAATTAAACTCCATCTTTGCCTGTTTTGTTGTTTTTTGGCTAGAATAGGAATGCCACAATTTATCTTAATGACCTGTCAAACCAAAGCAAAGATGGATGGAGTTTTTTTAATTAGAGTAAACAAAGTCCTAGATGCAACCTATCCCATCACCCAGAATCCTCAGAGGTATCGCTTCTGCCCGTAAATATGCTCAAATACATCAGCCATGAGAAGGAGAGAAGATATGAAAGAAAAAGCCTCCCAGGGGGAAAGGGATGACAATGAAAGTGTTGCTGGCTGTAGCGCATGAGATAAGCTTCATTGTTCACGTTGATCTGGATGATTGATGGGGCGAGTGGTTGAAAGAGTACTTTGAATCATGCTTTGGTTTCTGGGTCCTCTAACTCTAACGTATGTCCCCCGGAAACCGATGTTTGTCCCACAGGAGAATGAGAGAGAAATTAACTCTAATGATCTAAAGGAGAAGGAGGAAACTCACTCATAGTAGATGTGCGCTTGGTAAAGATGTCTTCTAAGCCATTGCGTCTTGTTCCGTCCCACATGAACGTCTACTGGGCTGTTTTCTCGAATCAGAGATGCGCTGTTGGGCTGCCAAAGGTCCACCTGCAGAACATCACTGAGATCAATCAAGCAGGAATGTTCCTAGCTGCTTAAGTGACAAATCTTTCATCATTTACTCGCCCTCATGTTGTTCCAAACCTGCATGACTTTCTTTCTTCCGTGGAAATATCTCTCTCAAACATCACTGTCATTGTCAAATGACAATCCCAATTGTTTATATTCACTTTTGGCAGACCAGATTGGATGGCATTGCTATCAAATAACATTGGTTTTCATGTGTTTCATAACTGGTCATGAACCATCAAACATTGAGTATGTGAAAATGCGAATGAAATCTGAGAGTTTTGGTGGAGGGCAAGTTAAAGCTTAAGTAACTGTCTTCAATGTTTCTGCTAAAATAACAATATTGACAATAGATGTAAAATGAATGCAAATAACAGCTCAGAGAATTTGATCAGGTAAGAATTTGAGAAATGTTTGAGAAATGACTTCCTATCTCTTGGGTTTTGATTGTAAATTTGGTGTTTCGGCAAATGTGAACACAGTTAGAGACATTATTGGGATTGCTTGTGAAACTTTAGGAGACACATTTGACATTATACTGGTGCATTTTGCACATGAGAAGCTGGAGACTCAATTTACTCTCCATTTAATCTCAGAAGCAATGAAGATATTTAAGAGATCTCACTTGCATTGACAATTTTTTGTTTAACTATCCAAACCGATATGTAAGAACATGTAGAACATGAGCTATATTCCACATACATAATTTCAATGTGAACATAAGAACATGGTCATAACATTATATATGTTCCATTTAGCTACAAACAAAATAAATAAATATGTTCATGGACACTAACTAAATCCAAAAACAAACCAAAATAAACAAAGCAATCTGAAATCAGGTTCTTGAAATTCAAGCAGTTTATCACATGTTGTTAGATCTTTGAACCAGAGTTGAGATGACTGACACAGCTTTCCCCAGTGCTGTAAGATCTGTAGATCAGAGACCTGCTGATTCAGCCCATTCACAGAGAGTTTGAATCATGCAGAGCTTCAGCGAGCCAACATGATCACAGTGTTTGATTGAAATGATCTATTTCTGTGTGTGGATCCACAAAACCACTTTAGATTGCCAACATATGCCGGAGCCTTTGTACTAGAAGCCCATACCAGTCCCTGAAGCATAACCTCAGATTTTGATCATCAGCCTCCTCTGTGCGGCTGCCAAGTCACTACGCTCTTGACTGAAAATTGGTGCACTAAAAACAGTTCTGAAAATTTGCCATACAATATGTATTTGCATGTTAAATAAAACCCTTCAAGGTATAGCTCTTGGTTAAAAGCAAGAATATCAGTCATAAAATATAGGTCCACTCAGAGCTGGTTACGTGCAGGCAGAAAAACTCCTCACCGCTATGCTGCATTCCTAACAGATGCTCACAAACCTGGCAGCTGAAACAGATTCGACACGTTTGTTTTGATGGTTTGTGGCTGATTGTACCATGGTATGATCTTGAAACAGATTTCACATGCACAAAGAAAGCATGAGATTGAGATGATGAACATGTCTTCTAAAAAAAGCAGGTGGTAAAAAAAGAGAACACCTGACTATACAAACATTAGGAATGCTAGTGTTTGCATTGATTGTTCGCATGGTCAAGTCAAATCAAGTCAAGTCAAATATATTTATATAGCGCTTTTCACAATACAGACTTTTTAGGCAATTTCTGTTGTAATTTTGGGGGGAAATCTGTGGAATGGATTTCTGTATTTGGTTGCGTTGCACTTATTTGCAGCACATGATTTTGAATGATTTGACATCCTTCTTAAAAAGTAATTCTACATCATGATTGACCTTTTTATGTTCTCAACTGCAGATTCCAATGGAAACAGAATAAGTCAATTTTGGTTTTAAATTCTGTCGTTTATGCATCGGAGCAAATGAGAGGCATTTTGATCAAACTTGTACAGCATCATCTGTTAATGGAAATCTTGACAGATTCACTACAGTTTACTGTGTGTACTCGGACGCCGCTGATTGTTTAACTGTCTTCTTTCTCCCTCTCCTTGTCTTTCTCTTGCTTTTGAGTGGTCCATTATTGGTTTGGGCTGTGACTGTAAAAAACTGCTCGCATCAGCTATACTATCAGAAAGGTAATCATCCTCTCTGCTGGTCTAGTTAAAGGAGACAGAATGTTCAGTACACTGTGTTCTTTTTAAGGGAAATCCTTTTTTTGCTTTGCTTCAGCTATGACAAAAAGACATCCCCTTTTGCATTGTGTGTTCATGCATTTTGGAGGCAGAGCAATGAAGGGATTTGTTTGTGTTATTAAGGTGAGGTTGAAGCAAGGAGGAAGCAGGATCCAAATGCAGCACGTTTATTTAAATACACTTAAACTATACAAAGACTCAGGCAAGGGAACAAGACTCGGGAACAGAACAACCTACACCGACGTAACAACAACACAAGAACTCACAAGGAAACAAGTCACAAGTCACTGAAACACAGGGCTTAAATACAAGGGCAAACAAGCTAAACAAGATAACAAGTGGGCGTGGTTAATCAGGGACACCTGAGAAACCTAATAGACATGACAGGGAAACTCAGAACAGGAAAATACAGGGGAACACAGGCCAGACAAGAACAAGACATGAACCCACACCATGACAGTTTGGGCTGATTTCAAATATCAAGTGTTTCTCAGAAATTTCTTACTGCACCTTTAAATATGGTAAAATGAGAGTACTGCTTGCAGGGGATGGGAATATGTTGAAATTGAATGTTGGCCTTTTTTATGCTTAAGGTTCTTTTGTGAGGGACTGCCTATATAAAGGCAGATATATTTTGATTGATAAACCCATTTATACTGTGACAACAGACAAATATGATGCCATTGTATTAGTTTTTTTTTTTAATTCTAAATTAAATAGTTGGCTTTTATATTGTTATTTATGGAAGCTTGTTTCCGCCACAGAATAAAAAATAAAAAAGGTAATTGCGACTTTTTATCTCACAATTCTGACTTTCTGATATAAACTCGCAATTACGAGTTATAAAGTCAGAATTGTGTGATATAAACTCACAATTGCATGTTATAAAGTCAGAATTGCGAGTTATAAAATCAGAATTGTGAGATATAAACTCGCAATTCTGAGAAAAAAATGTCAGGCTTTTTTCAGAATTAAACTTTTTAACTCACAATTGCGGTTTATATCTCGCAATTCTGAGAAAAAAAGGCGCTATTATTTTTAAATTGTTTTATTCCGAGCCGGAAACAAGCTTGCATTGTTATTGTACTGAAGCCAAAATAAATTTGTAAAAATACTGACTTTGACTTCTGTGTATCTTTTTTTCTACCAACCATTAGAATAATGTTAAAAAGTGTAAACCTGAAGAGAGACTTTATTTAATTCTTAAAGATTTTCCCAATCAATGTCTATAATAAAAAATACAAATAAATAATAATAATAATAATAAAAGACTATTATAAGATTTTCTTTTTTCTCTGCAGACCTCAACCCCTCTTGAGGCCCCCAGGGGTCCCTGGATACCTGTTTGAAAAACCTCTGCCTTACTTCAGCCAAGAGGAAATCCAGCCAAGTAGCACACAAGCCTATCAATGACTAAATTGGTATAATAGTTTGCAGACAGTTTCGTGTGAGTGCAGACCTGAAAACTTCTCTCTGTTAGTGCAGTGACCCCAATTTCTTGAGCACTGTAAAGTTCAACATGGCTCAGTTTGAGATCATTTTACACTTTGTATTGACACATTCCTTTAAGATTAAGTGGATGTGTTTATACTTTATACTGTGAGAACCAAAGGATGCTATTACGACAACATAATACTAATTTTTTCTATCTAAATTAAATAATTTACTTTTATATTGTTATTGTACTAAAGTCAAAGCAAATAATTATATAATGTTGAATAGTTCCTTAAAGATAAAGTGCAAATATGTAGGAAATTAAAACATAGAATTGGATTTGGACTAAATGTGATACTCTGTGTTGTCTAGTCATGTTTTTAAGAGCTGTTGATAAACTTATAATCTTATTTTCTTCAAATGGCCATGTGAGTATATCTTGTTTTCGATCAGCTGAGGGGCATGTGTTCACACTTAAAACCTATTTTTCCTTTTTCCGTTTCATGATGGGGGTTGATGTCACTTTAAAACAGACAGCAGAAATGTCCCAAGTTTCCTCAAACGCAACCCTGAGTGGTGACATCAAAGGTAGCAGATAGGGAAACAAGTCCATTTCATGCTTTGTAAGAGCCTCCAAAAAATCTGTCACTGGCAAAACATCTACTATAATATAATAAATATTTGTGATGTATGTTGCTTGCACAAACATTTAGTCCGAATACACAGCTAATTTGAATGGCCTGTCAACAGACAGACTAGCTAACTAGCCTAACCTTATGGAAATTAATGGCTACTGATGACGTTTAATTGGCCTTTTAATATAGTCTACCACATTTCTCACTGCTGCTTGTGTTCGCTGTTTGTATAGGCAGCCTGTTTAGAAGTATATAACTGAAGGAAATGGTGGCATGGTGCCAGGGAACTCTTTTCTGACTCTTAAAAGAAGCTGAGGATGTTCATGCATCACTGGTGCTGAGATTGGCAGAGTGGTGGTGGTGCAAAAAAAAAAAGATAAGGACAGTAAGTCACGGTATACAAATTCATTGTTTCCTTCTCGTCTCGTGTTGATGTTGTTGTATGAAAGCGTAGTGGGTGTCAGTGTTAATTTTGTCAGCAAATTTTGATTTAGTTTTAGTCTTAGTCTTTTGACTAAAATGCCATTTAGTTTTAGTCATATTTTAGTCATCTGAATTGTTTTAGTTTTAGTCTAGTTTTAGTCGACGAAATACAATAACATTTTAGTCGACTAAATCTACAGTAGATTTAGTCGACTAAAATATAATGGGTTTAGTTCAATTGTAATGCGTTAATTTAGAATTTCTCTAAAATTTCCAAACCCATATACTCCCGGAGAAAACATCTTTTAACCTATTAATATGAATGATTTTTAAGTT